TAAAAAAAAAATATGAGAATCGGGATACCGGAACTAAAAAGAGGGGGACGATGAGAGGAAGAGGGACGCGGGCCGGAGAGGGGCAGGATATAATAATATAAGACCGAAACAAATCCTTACAATTACAGAATACTTAATACTAATAAAACTCAGTACTTTTTACAAGTTACAAGGAATAACAAGATCTATCATAATAAATTGGGAAATTCTCTAACTTATCATAGATAACTGTAAATCGGAACGTGAAAACTTATCCCTATATCGTTTTCTTTCTTAACACAGTGAAAAATCGGTGCTACGTAGTCAAGATTTCATTTCCAACACGTTGTCAATACGTTCTTTTTGTTCTTCGTCTACACCGCAATTAACAACCTACCGATTTATATACAATTTTTACGTGTTCCCACAGTTACATAGAATTCTTATAGAGATATAAAATTCTGTTATTTATATTTATTGTCTGATCGCATCTTGTCTTTTACAATATACTATTATTATTATTATAAAAAAGAAGGAAGGAGATAACGTATTAACATACCTCTTAATATTTTCGTCGTTCGCTATTTGGCAGACTTCTGGTGGCTTTTAACAAATATAAAGGCAGTCGCGTGAAGATACACTTATATAATTCGTTACAAAAGTTTCTATGTATACATATATATATTTTTTTCTCGTATATAAATAAAAAGGTGTCTCACCTTAGGAGCATTAAGGGTTCGCGGAGGAAAAAATATTATTATAGAGAATTGCGTTGGACCGGTCGTGTTCTAAACGTCTCGAAAAGCTCCATCACATCTGGCTGCAGATATGTGTATCTCAGAAATTGCATCAAGGAATATGGTCGCCTTATGCAACAGTCAAATTACACACTCTCTCTCGCGCGCAAAAAATACATATATATATCTTCATACGTATATATTTATATTTATTTCTCTGTACTATGATTCGTAATTATGATACGATTAAAAAATGAAACGTTGCTACGTGCATATGCGGGAAATCGTCTTATAAAACTACTGATATTTTACCTTAGGTAATATAAAAAAATATATAAAAACAGTTTTGTACAAAATCGAGAGAAAAGACAATTACTGTGAAAAAGGAGTTGAGAGAAAAATGTATGAAGTATAAAGAATATTTACAAATTTTAACTATAGAAAAAAAAGAGAACGAGATTAAAAAAAGTAACATGATCATTGCATAAGTTCACCGATGAAGAGAATATTGCAAAAGCATCTTTTGTTCAGTGCGTTGACTCGTAATTGCCTGATTTCTCTCGCAACAAATCTACGATTAGATTCCTAATACCATTATGCGTACATAACACCAGATTCAATTCACGATTACGCGTGTCCGCTAGAAATTCCTCTCTCGTTTTGGCTTTGGCAGATGAGAGATCAGCGAATCGTCTTACCGCTCGTTTCGTGTCTCGGTTTTCATTTAAATCTGCACGCTTTTACGAAGTAATTAAACGTTAATGATTACGCTAGGAAGTCTGTTTCGCAGGTAGTAAATTGATCTGAAACCAGATACTTCTCCTTAATACACGCTCATTTGTATTGTATCCGTATCCTACAATTTTAAGTTTGTAAAACTATTCATAATATTTTTGTTTCGGGAATATTAAATATTATTAAACAGGTATCTGTATCTTAAAAATTACGGGCATCAAAGGACACGGATCTTTTTACACGTTCAAAATCTTGACCTCTAACAAAAGATAAGCATAGTGTATCCGCGAAATGTATTTACTTATTTCGACTGGAATAGAACATCCTCTAGTTCGCATCGAGCTTGCAAAGTTGCTCGATTCGCGGATATTTCTCATGTCAAAATCGAAACGAGTAAAGGTAGGATCATTCGAATGGAATGTCTGCGTATGGAACGATTCGTTCTTAGGGTGAAGACGAATTCTCTGAGACTCCCGTCGCGTCGACCGTACAAAAGTCATACCTTTTTCTTGCTTTTGTCTCCTACACTTAATAGTATGCCTCGCGCTCTAACATAGATCAGTATTTTAAAGGCCATTTGGAAACGCTGCTTGTTTCGGATCAGGATATAATTTAATAGAATTATCTAACGCAAGAACTTCTTAGTGTTATTCTACGATACTCGAAGGCACGATTCTCGGCTTTCTGTTTGACACAGCGTAACTTTCCTCTATCGCTTTCCGTTTCCTCTCACATTCTTTTTCTGAATTGGTCACAGATGTTGAATAGTGCCGTATTGGACTTTCTTCTTTCTTTCTCGTTCGTGGAAAGTATGTATTTTTATGCATATTACAAATTTAAATAGAATATTACATGATTATTCTCTATAGTGGTCCCCGTTGAGAACAGCGTCTTCCATATTGTCCTATGTACAATACAATTATAGATAGCAAGGTCTCGCGTTCCTTAGTACTATTTTAAAAAAAGAATAAGAGAAAAATGTCTATCGGGTCTTCATACTGTGGCAAGTCGAAGGCACCATTGTTCGTTGAGCCGCGATGCACTAGCGGTAATCGTAAAATGCATCGTATGTATGTGTATCTACTAATTCATGGATGTTACTGAAGACCGTGGGTCTCGATAAAAAAGAAGGCACAATCGTTAATCGACTTATAAGATAGAAAGGTGTGTGCCCCCTTTTGCTTCCAAAAATATTTTTCACGTACATGTACATATATAACTATTCATTTATATTTATATTCATAAATATTTATCATATATACAGGACACGTTCTGTAACAGTATCCAGTCACTTTCGACAGTCTGACCAAAAATGTATAAGCAAAAATCAGTTGACTCTAACTTTTCTTCCAAGAACTTTTTAATCAGATTATCGAAAGAAAGAAACGAAAGGATGCCGTTACGGGGTGTAGCCTGCATTTATAGAACCGTATTGGCGTCTGTTACACTATTAATCCGACGATAGAGCGTTCGGTCGCGCTAATCTCAACACGGAAATTTCACTGAACAAGAGTTTACCGACGATCCTCGCCCTCGAACTCGACGAGTTAATCACAGTTCACGGTTTACGAGTGACTCGCCCGAGTAAGAGAGCACTGCCGCCTTCATATGTAGATCGCCTCAGATCCCTTGTTGCTCTGGTGCGCGGCGGTGGGACCATAGGCGTTCGGCGACGCCATACACTCGGACCAGTCGCTATTGGAGTGTGGCGAACTCGAGGACCAGTGACCTGGACTGTCCGGGGACGGCGTCGGAAAGCTCTCGGGTGCTTGCATCAGATGTTGCGGCGTCACGTCCGGCCCAGAATGGTGCGACGGTGGCGTCAAGTATTGATAGTACTGTTGCGTTTGCTGCTGCGCCTGTTGCGCCTGTTGCTGTTGCTGCTGCTGCTGCGTGCTCTGCTGCTGTTGCTGTTGCTGCTGTTGGATTTGTTGCTGCGTCTGTTGCATTTGCTGCTGCTGCTGCTGCTGCTGCTGCTGTTGTTGTTGTTGTTGCTGACTCGTGGAATAAGGAAGGTTTTCGAAATCGAATCCGACAGGCGGCATCCCTCCGTGTTTCTGATGCGTCGCCTGCCTCATCGCGGCAATGTGGGTGGGCGAGGTTGGCAACGAGGGTCTGCTCTTTGCCGGGGAAGGTGAACCCATGTAACTCGCCTGCGGCGAGAGGGTCATGTTTGATTGCACCGAGTGTGGCGGGGACTGATTACTGTAAGGTGGCGATAGCGTGTTCACCATCCCCTGCGCTTGTCGTTGGTGGGACGCTAGCAGTTGGTCGTGAAAATTAGGCAATCCATAGTTCGTCGTGAACGTGTCCAGGCCCAATTGTTGAAGGCCCTGCATTGATTGCCCCTTTATACAGTCCTCGTACGGCGGTGGTTGCTTTGCAGTCGCTGTGTGGCCGACCAAAGGGAGCGCGTTGCTGTACAGGCTTGCGCTGTCGTATGGACTTGGCAAGTTCCCTTCCGCGCCCTCTGCGCCCTGTGGTATTTCTTGGTTTGGGGGCTGAGCGCCACGCTTCGCCGGTGGCTTCTTCACCGATGGCTTTCGCCTCACGACCACTACTCCACCCTCTGAATCGGGACTGTTTGGGTTCCCCGCGGTTCCAGTTTTTGGCCGCTTCTTGGATTTCGTTTGTTTCGGCGCAGAACCGATTACTGTTGGGTGTGTGATTAACTGCGCATGATTTGGCGACCCTGTAAAAACAGATGTGTGACATATTTAATAAAACAAAATCAATAGAAGAATGTTTAATATAATATATTGAATTCACGTCTCAACTTCATTCAACGATAAGATTGTGAGGCAAATGCTTGTCGTCAACAAAATAAGAAACAGATGTAATAAAGAAAGGTACTCACCCATAAGAGGGCCGTTTGGTATCACAGTGACCATCTGCGGTGATCTAGGCACATGCTCGTCCAACAGTCTCACGATGTCATGGTGTAATCTCTCACTGGCGACGTCTCTTGGTAACCGATCCATGTGATCGGTAATTTCTCTGTTGGCGAAAGTGTCCAACAACGCCTTGCAAGCCTCGAAGCTGCCTTCTCTGGCAGCCAGGAATAAGGGTGTCTCGTCCTTGTCATCCTGCGCATCTCTGTTCGCACCGTGAACCAAAAGTATGTTCACAGCGTCGACGTTGTTAACGGCGGCAGCCCAGTGAAGCGCTGTTTTGCCACTGTTATCAGCTGCGTTGATATCAGCGTCAGCGTTAATGAGGTCTTCTACCATTCCTTCGGTGGCGAGACGAGCAGCTAGAATCAATGGTGTAGTTCCGTCGTGCATTCGGGCGTTCAGATTCGTCGCTCGGTTTCTTAACAGTATCTGGAAGACTCCCATCGCGTCTGCGGCGACGGCGGAATGAAGAGGCGTTCTGCCGGTGTTGTCCTGAGAATTAGCATCCGCTCCGGCATCGAGGAGCCTCTTCGCGGCGTCAGCTCTGGCGTACCTAGCTGCCAGATGAAGAGACGTCTCGCCGCTCTTATCTGTGGTGGCATTCAAGTCTGCACCCTGAGCAACCAAGTCAGCGATCACAGCCGCTGTACCATCGCTTTCATCCTCTTCTTCCCCAGTATCCAACCCTCCACCGCGTACAGCGGCAACCATTAATGGTGTCATGCCGCACGGTCCTCTCGCATCAACGTCCTGACCATGCTCGAGGCTCGGCGGTGTCAAAACTCCTGCGTCCGGTCTACGGATTTCAGCTGCATCCAAATGTTGTTGAGTCCACATGCGAGGCTCCGTCTCCTCGTAATCCGTGATGGCGGTATGATCACTGGAGTAGCCGGGTTCTAGCGCTCTCATCCTCTTTGAGGGCGGTAGATCCGATTCATCGTCTGACCATTGTTGCGCCCTTCCGTTGCCCACGTCAAGATCCATGCAGTTCACCGAAGGTTGCTTGTTCAAGTTCCTCATTTCTTGACCATCCGGACCTCGCCTTCTGGATCTACGACGCTGACCGCTTCCGCTGCTAGTGCGGAGGAATCCTTCCGGGAACCATGTCACACCCACAGCTCGTTTCCTCTGCGCCGTAACCAAAACTCCGACCAACATTCCACCGAGGATTACGATGACAACTCCGATGAAAACGTACTTGAAATTGGTCGGCGAGTCCGGATATTCCGGACCTTGCGGGCCAACCACACCTCGGACTTGTTCTATGGGGAAGTTCCGAGACAACGAATGTTTAGACGCGGTCGCTGCCAGGTACTCCGCCGCCTCGTTCGCCGACGGGAAGCACACTACCCCTTGAGTGACGGTACATTTTCTGTTGTCTATCTCCAAATAGACGATTATACCACTTTGTGTGTTGGTATAGATCGTGGTCGGGCGTCCAAAAATATTGGTCTGCAAACCAGAGTCTCTTTCTCTTTTCCATGGGTAGATCATGTCATTGCCGAGCTCGTCTTGCTTCACTCTCAAGGTGGTTCTTAATTCGTGACCGATGTCCCTCAAAAAGGCGACCACGTTCGATCGGAACGACTGCATATCCATCCTCACTACCACGGAGATCACACCTTCTGCTAAGGACTCTGGTTCTCTCTCGCAGTCGAGACCGTCCCAGTTACATTCTTCGTTGTTGCAGCCGTAATCGCAATGTCCGTTGGCATAGTGTTTGCGACAATAAGCGTCATAGATTGGGCTGCAAGAATAGATATACAAATTAATTAGAGTTATATAATCTCTTTTTACACAAAGAAATTGTTTAAATATAAAATGACTTACTTGCACGGTGGCAGCTTTCTCTCGCAATCCCTTCCATCGAACAAACACTGCGCGTTGTTACAAACCTCGTCGCAGACATCATTCATGAAAACGTCCCAACAATTAATCGGCGCAGTGCAATTACGCCACGGATTGATGCCCAACGAGCAATCGTTCCCGTCGAAATTGCAAGCGTACCGGTTGCATTCCTCGTCACAATGATGATTACCAGATTTCTCTTCGCATCGGTTTTCAATGCATTTCTTCCTTTCCATTTCTAAGTCGAGCTCGTATGCGTTCATGGTTTTTGGAGCATTAGAGTTTGGACTGCCGAAGATGCCGCCTCCATAATTAGGATCGTAAATTTCGCAGTTCTTGCCAGTCCATTTCGGTGGGCAATCGCAAGCATAGTCGCCAAGGAGATTCTTACAAACGGCATTCGACTGTTGACAAGGGTTGCTGGCGCACTCATCCCTGGCGTCTATCTCGCAATGAGTCCCGGTGGTTCCCGAAGGGCAATAGCATCTGTACCCGACTTCGGTTTCGGCCACTCTACAAGTACCGCCGTTCAGGCAAGGTTCCCTGTCACAATAGGAGCCAGCGAACTCGCAGTTGTTTCCATAATAGTCGGTCGGGCAAAGGCAAGTATGGCCAGCCTGCTTCGCGGTGCAAATACCGCCGTTTTGGCATGGTGAACTGTCGCAGAAGTTCACCTTCACCTCGCAGTGACGTCCCATGTATCCCGGTTTGCAGTTGCAATGATAGTTGTTGACTAACTGCACGCAGTCCTGAGTTCCCGGCGAGGCGCAGGGATTCGAGAGACACTCGTTGATGTCGCCCTCGCATCTTGGACCCACGAAACCCGGAGGACACTTGCACTCAAACCCACCCACTTTGTCGATACATGTTCCGTTATTGTGGCAAGTGCCGATAGCACAGTCGTCGACGTTCAACTCACAGATGAAGCCTAGGGTACCGGGCGGGCAGGAGCAACTGAAGTTGCTGATAAGATCGTGACATGTACCGCCGTTCTGGCAGGGATTCGGTCTACAGTCGTCCACGTTCAGTTCACAATTTTGGCCCTGGAAGCCCTTAGTGCATTGACATTGGTAAGACCCAACGAGGTCCTTGCAAGTAGCACCATTCTGACACGGTGCGGAGTCGCACTCGTTCACCTCTTCTTGGCAATATGAACCCGTGTATCCTTCTATGCAGTGGCAACGGTGGCTGTTGCCTATGTCCTCGCAGGTACCATTGTTACACAGGTTTTTCTCGGGTACTCCTTTCCTAATTGCCGCATCCTTGCACGAAACCATCTCAACGTCGCAGACTTTGCCTGTCCAACCAGGCGAACAATTGCAGTGGTATTTGTTTTTATGCTGCACGCAAGTAGCCTGATTCTCGCAAGGATTGTCCACGCACCAGTCGACGTACTGATCGCATCTCGCCCCAGTGTAACCGTAAGGGCAGTGACAAGTGTAATACTGAATATGATCATGGCAGGTAGCTCCATTCAGACAAGGCGAGCTATCGCATTCGTTTATGCGATACTGACAGTTGGAGCCTGTGTAACCAGGTTTGCAAACGCAGGTATAGTTGTTGATTCCATCGATGCACTTGCCGCCATTCATGCAGCTACTATCCGTGCAGTCCTCGTCGTTCGTTTGACAATTTATACCGGAGAATCCGAGTTGGCATTGACAAGTGTACGAGTTCACGTATTCCTTGCAAATCGCGCCGTTTTGACACGGCTGCGACAGACACTCGTCGACATCGATCTCGCAGTGTTTGCCACTAAAACCGTCCACGCATAAGCAAGTATAGTCGCCGATTCCGTCCAAGCACGTGCCACCGTTTTGACAAGGGACTATAAAATACAAATTTATATTCAATCAATAAAAAACTAAATCAATCCTACACATTCGTAATTCATCTTATCGTACGAATTTAATGTTCGAGGATTTTGATGAATTTAGTTCTTGATACTTACAGGAAGCACAATCGTCGGTATTAATGATACAGTCCCGGCCTTCGTAACCCTTCGCGCACAGGCATTGATAAGAACCGTTGGTGTTCCTGCAGGTAGCACCGTTTCTACACGGCGAGGTCATTATACATTCGTCGACGTCCTCGTCGCACAATCTGCCGGCATAACCGACGGTGCAGGTGCACACGAAATCGAGGAAGTTCGAGGATGGCTCGCATCGTGCTCCGTGAAGGCATCTATAATCGGAAAACGAACACGTTAGCGATCATTGCTTGAACTCCGGAAACTGGAATATACTTAGCTTAAAATGAAATAAAACAGTGGATCGTACTTGTTGGGTGAACAAGGATCCAGTTTGTCCTCGCAGTTTCTCCCCGTGTGAGGCAGTTCGCAGACGCATTTGTAATCATTCACTATATCGATACAAGAACCGTCATTTTGGCATGGATTGTTCGCACAATCGTCAATGTTGGTCTCGCAATTGGTCCCGGAATATCCGGCGATGCACTTGCAGCTGTAGCCGTTCAAGTGATCGTTGCAAGTGCCCCCGTGTTGGCAAGGGTTCGAGCCGCACTCGTCGATATCCGCTTCGCATCTCTTGCCGCCGTATCCTGGCAAACAGTGGCAGATGAATTGATTCACGCCGTCCTCGCAGGTGCCGCCATTCACGCAGGGATTGCTCGCGCATTCGTCTACATCGCTGAGGCATCTAGCATCGTAGTAACCGCGAGGACACTCGCACCGGAAACCGTTTATTACGTCGATGCATCGGCCGCCGTTCGCACACGGGTTGCTGGCGCACTCGTTGATGTCCGTTTCGCAATGCTGTCCGGTGAAACCAGGCAGGCATTCGCACGAATATCTAGAATGTACAATCGAAGATGAAGCTGATTTCATGGTTTGTAAGACGATATAACATTAATAATTAGTATATGAAATTTTGAACGAAGAATCCTAGAGAGAGCTTAGAAATTCTAATAGATTCTAAGCAAGGATACTTCATACTCACCTGTTGATTCCATCGATACATCTCGCTCCATTTCTGCAAGGATTGCTGTAACACTCGTTCACGTTCACCTCACAATTCGTTCCACTGGTGCCAGGCCTGCATATGCATTGATATCCGTTGATACGATCTTCGCACCTACCCCCGAACTGGCAGGGGTTGCTCTCGCACTCGTCGATCTGGGTCTGACACAGTTTCCCGGTGAACCCGGGAAAACAGTTGCAAGTGAAGCTGTTCTCGCCGTCGATGCAAGTACCGCTGTGACAAGGATTCGACTGGCAGTCGTTGATGTTCGTTTCGCAGGAGGCGCCGGTAAATCCCGGCGGGCAGTCGCAAGTGTATTTGGCGATCGAGTCTTGGCAGATGCCGCCGTTTTTACACGGAGACGAAGCGCAATCGTCTATGTTTATCTGACAATGGGAGCCGGCGAATCCATTCGCACAGGTGCATTTGAACGAGTCTATCAAGTCCGTGCAGATTCCGCCATTCAGACACGGTTTCGCCGCGCATTCGTCGATGTCTATCTCGCACTGAGTACCCGTGAAACCTGGAAACAATTAAAAATCGTTTTTCATAAGATAATACTCGCACTTCTGAACAAAAGAATGTTTATTTAATTATGTATCCTTCTTAAGAATAGTCTATGTAGCATACATAGTCGGAAACCATTTGGAAAATTTTTGCATTCAGCCGGAGTTCAAGACGTAATTGTCCGAGATCAACACTCGTTTCCGGTGAATCGAGTGGCTCGAAAACGGGCATAACGGTACCGTTTCTCTCGCGAAATTACAAACGCGGTTGTCGCTAAAGGCGGATAAACTCGTCAGCCGGGTGACCATAATAAAACAGTAATTAGCCTCAATTAGACACGCTCGCTCGGCAGCAGACACTTAGATGGGTACAGATGGACCAGATGCTCGGACCACCGTTAATTGCAACTTTGATCGATCGAAGCTTTATGCTTTCTTCCTCTTTTCGCGTTCTTATAAGTATCCGTGGTGAATGCGGACAGTGATCCCTGGATAATCGCGGCCAATTATCAACCAGTAATTAGGAGTTCGATGAATAATCATCGTGAAATCTGCGAGCGGAGACCGGTCCTTTCATTCGACGCTTTATTCGGGAAAACGTGCCGCAGAGCAAAGCCGATAAAATTGCATTATAATCGGCATGAAATTAAAAATATCCAGCCTTTCGTAAGATTATGTGACCAGTTTTGATATCTACCAACATTATAGTTCGACAAAAAGCATAAAAACGAATATGGAGTAAGCAAGCTTTCATAATTTAATGTTCAATTAACGGATAATTATAGTTCCGAGGATATTTACCGATTCCGGGAAATCGGGTCATTACTCAGACGTTGATTAACCAGGAACCTGATAATAAAAGTACGGAGCGGAATATAAAATTCCATGAGCGCGAAAGTAGCGCGTCAGAGGGTAATGAAAACTTCCGCTGCGCTGTATATAAAAGCGACCAAAACGGTGTCCGGTTAATTGGAGGAGAGCTAATTTGGCAGAATAGTCGAGGGAATTCGGTAACGAATCCCAGCCTCCGCGACTGCCGATGGATTCCTTGCCCGTGTATGGCGGACTTCTCAATGGAGAGAAAGTTATCGTTCGGGTCGCCTGGCCTTCCGCGTTTTAAAGGTTCGACTCGAACGGCGAACGCTGTGTCTAATAAATACCGAAATCGCTAGAATGGAATTTAATCTTTAGTGAGAATTTCTAAATAGCCGTGTACACATACTTCCAGTTTCCTGTATTATTACATTTCCTCTGCCTAAAATCATCACATCTCTTGACTTTTCAACGTATCTTCAAATTAATGTTCATATGTACAGTGCTAAGTACGCAAATTTGTTAGGAAATAAAAATCAGTGCACGTTGTTCAATGATTCATGGCGCACTATGTAAATTCGTTTGTATATAAAGTCCTTATAGATTCGAGAGGAAACGACGAGGGATCCGTCACGGCGTACGTGCACTCACAACTGAATTAGCCGCATCATTGTCCGAACGGGGAAAGGGATAAAGAAATATATACTGAATGAATGTACGTACGATAAAAAATCTGTGTGTCATCCGGTCGGGTCGACGATCGGTATGGATGTTGCATTGCGATTATTAAAAAAGATAGCTACCTTCAATAATGAAATTGCTCGTTGATAAATGATTTACTAACAGGACTGCGAAATTGCATCTTATAATAACAACTTTTTTGCGATTTCATAATCAATATTTAGAATTATAATATTCATTTATTTAGGATTAGAATACTTTCGAGTATAATTCTAAATGGGCAGATATTTCTGTAGTAGGTGCAAAAGAATCTCCGGTGTTTCCATAAGAATATGCTTGCAGAAACGCGTATCGTTTGAATTATTAAAGACGCGAAGGGTGGGGTTGGAGGAACATTTTTCAGTGCTGAGTTAACGCCACTATTGTCTCTCGTAGCGATTTAAGTATACGAGTGCCCACTGTCTTACGATCAACCGAACACATGACAGAAATAGGAAAGTTCAAAGAATGACTCTTCCATCCTGGCAGATGTGCAATTTTCGTGTCAGTCGATCAAATAACGAAGCTTCTTTTCTATCCGGGATAAAAGCGTTGTTAATTTTCGGTTTAATTTAATAACCGGGTTAGGGATAATAATTTAATAACATATTTAAAGCAAGATTGCCATTCTTTGTGAGAAGCGGTAGTCGAATCGAGAAAAAAGATAAGTGTGTAAATTCAGATTCGGAGAGAAGGTGTAATCAATTCGAGAGGGTTTAATCGTCGATCCTTGGCCAAGTATTTTTTTCTGAGCTCAAACGCGCTCGACTACCCTGCCTTTAACCGAGAAGCCCTCTTATAAAAAGAAATCACTTTCTTTTTATCAATGAATAGAAAAGTATCCGATTTTGTGTCAGTAATAATGTTGCAAGAAAAATTCAAATAACATTTTGTTCTTATTTTCGCGTGTAGGATACGCTCCCCAAGTTTGCTCATTAAAACGCGGGACACCCTGTATAGAAAACCGACAAGAGAAAATAGACATTGAAAAATACACAATATTTATTACATTTAATCCTATATTGCGAATAACAGGAAACCTCTGATCCAATTTAGGAATGTTAATGGTACCAGATTGACGATCAGATTTAAGGGTGTTCTCTGATACATTAAAGAGGCAACGGCATTCCGTGGAGTCGACCGTCGAATGAGAATTGCTAATTCGTTTCAATACGACGACGGATTCCGCGGCATTGTTTCCGCAATCTTCAATACCGTTAGCTGGCTGCCGCGATTCGATTTCTGCCTGATTCGTTTCCGCGATACGGAAACGATCTCGGGACCGAGGTCTAGGGAGGTTAGTCATCATTTTCATCACCATCTAAGCACACGTGATCTTGCTCTCCTACGCGGGTCCTTGTCGAGGTCAAATTCTAAGCAATTCTAAGTAATTCCTTCTGTTCATTGTCTCTGATCGCAAACTTCGTTCTCCATTCCTCCTTTCTTTTATAATTATGTATCTCATCAGAATTATGGAATACGTTGAATAATCGTAGCAAATAGAAATACAAGTGTCACAACCGGACGTATTGACCAGGCGATAAAATGATATAATTTAACAATCAGTAATTGTAAGTAAAACAATATAATTAATCATGATTGAAATTAAGCAAAACTAATTCATGCGATACAATCGACTGTTTCTATTTTAGAAAAAAAAAAAATCGAACGACCTGGCAACCAGTGAAGGTCCCATCATTTTCAATTAATCCCAATCCTTCCTACAGCCTTAACATAAATTCAGCTCATGCCTGTTCGTCCATCTCTCTAGCCGGGCCACAGAAAAAAAGGAGCAATGATAAAAATCGGTGAACGCGGTTCAGCGCTAGGCGAGAGGATCGTTCGTGTCCGCGTTGGCAACTCCCACGTTTAGCCGAGCGTGTTCGGATAATTGTAATCTATTGCCTCGGCGGTGTTCTCGAACCAGCCTACGCGCATTGATAAACTATGCGAAACCCTAACCCGCGCGCATCGCTATCGTCGGATCCCTAACTATTACACGTATCCTCCTCGCAGCCGCGTTTCCTCTTCACCGCCTCTCACATATCCTCGTCCTCCTCTCTCGCGGTCTGTTCGAGTGAGAGAAGGGTACTCTTACCTTCGACTAACGAACGCGAACACATCTTTGACTGCGAGTGCAGGCTCTGTATAGTGAAATGTGAGCACGGTATATTTCTTTATAATTATTCAGGTCTCGTTTGAATAAAAACTTGGCATCTTGTGAATTCAATCGGAATCTTCAAGGTGCAACCGGATTTTTAATCCGCTTCATAGCACAGCAAGCGTTCACTTCTATTATCATCTAAATAATATCGTTTGATTAATTCAAATGAAGTTTCATTAGAACAAGTGTTAAAAAATCGTTTATTAAACTTGTTATTCGTAACTATTCATATTCGTCACGTTCGATGCACACAATTTTGAGTAGACACGGAGTGGTCGGAATCAGATTAGAAGATCAACCGGAATTGGACGCCGTAATAAGAGATATCTAATTTAAATGACTGAGGTGAGTACCAGGTCTCATTCGTTTCCTATGAACGGTTCTCAAGTCACGTTGAATGTGTATCGAATCTGGTTATCGAACTATAATGATGCTAGAGGAAGCGAACGACACACGATTTCAAAGACGCCGCTCTGTACAGCAACATTGCTATTCCAACGTAGGAACGAAATATTTCAAGTCGGAGATACTAAAAAATAAATTAAATCGTACATGAATTTAAGGATTCTTCGATACACGTAGAATAAAATTGTATAGAATGTGAGACGTTTATTAAAGTCGAAGTCATGAGTCGAGTTCTTCTCGTAAGAATACATGATGATGTCCTCAAATATAAAATAATATCGTCGTAACCAGACATGCGTTTCAAGCGATTGGTAGAAAACGTATTACAGCGATAATGTGTAAATACGTGCGTCGAGTATTTATCGAGTAGATAATTAACGCAAGTTTGTTACACGATATCACAGTCTCCGGTTGTAGCGATTCGCGGATAAACATCGATTCCTCTCGTAAAAAGAAGCGGGATTAAGTATACGATCTGCGATAAAGTCGGAACGAATCGGGCTGCGGACTTCATCGTTAAAACTTGCCGGTTCTAAATTGCCGAAGGATCGGGAACGAAATTTCTCGCCGCGGTTCTCGTCACTGGTTGAAACGCTTAACTTAAGAACCGTCTCGTTAAATGTTCCAGCGCAACGTATCCGGTCGGAGAATTGATACTTTAAGAGCAACCGGGATTTTCTGCGAGGTAAGGAACAAGGTAGGACCGATCGAGCGACGATAAAGGATTACTCGTTAATATCTCGTGAAGGGAGTCTCCTCAATCTTCATAATTAAAGAAAACGAGTTGCGAAGCCAGATGAAGTCATCCCTCGCAACGAGCCGTTGGGTTGTCTCGATGAAAATCTCGAGTCGAACGATTCATTCCAATTGATTTCGATCGGTACAAGGATCGAGTATCCGCCACTAAGGATCACG